GAGTTACGCGGATCCGACTTATGTCGGATCCGCAGTTACGAACAGGGATTTTCTCTCCCCGGAGGACTGGAGCGACGGGACGCCTGGTCCTGCCGCCTGCCTCCTCCGGGGCGAGAAAAGCTGCTCCCCATCTCCCTGGTCTGCTGCGGGAGCCAGCAGACCAGGGAGACGGGGAGCAAAGCAGCGCAGGACCCAGGGCCGGACCCGCGGCCGCTTCCAGATCAGCTGGAAGCGCCGCGGGTTGGGCCGGGTCCTGCGCGGCTTTGCTCAGCGTCTCCCTGGTCTGCAGCACTGCAGCGTCTCCCTGATCTGGAAGCGGCCGCGGGTCCGGCCCCGGGTCCTCCGCCGCTTTGCTCCCCGTCTCCCTGGTCTGCTGGCTCCCGCAGCAGACCAGGGAGACAGGGAGCAGCTTTTCTCGCCCCGGAGGAGGCAGGCGGCAGGACCAGGCGTCCCGCCGCTCGAGTCCTCCGGGGCGAGAAAATCCCCGTTCGTAACTACGGATCCGACATAAGTCGGATCCGCGTAACTCGGGGACTACCTGTAATTACTCGACAGATCCTTCCAGACCTGGACAAACTGAGGCACTTGTAAGCTCCTCACAGCCACAGAGGTGAAATTCGCCCCTCGCTCTTTGCTGTTCTCTGCTTCCAGGCATTTGCTTCCTGGCTGTCTGGCTGCAGCCGGGTAGCCCTGGAGCGAGAACACAGCCTGCTCTGCAAACCATGGGACTGGTTTTCAGTCCTTGTTCTCTGGCTTTGTAGGCATCTCCCCTTTGAGCCCCCATCCGCTGGAGGGCATCAGGCCCTGATCCACCGATCACTGCATCTGAAATACAGTGTCGCGGGTAGGGGACGCCTGATATGAGTCACCCTGCAGATGGAGAGGGCCTCGACCTCCGGAAGGGATTGACGTACCTAGAGTGCAGTGCAACCCCCCTACAACCATTCCCAATAACCCCCTCTGTACGGGAGCAGTGTAGAAACCTGTCCATAATGCAGGTTAGGCTCTGCAGGGATGTTCCCCACACTTTGGGGTCTGGGCGAGTGCCGGTGTAAATTGGACCCCTCCCCCCTCCCGGGGTTGGCGCATCGCTGTGCACTGAGGGGGTGCTGAGAGCAGGTGTGTCACTGGCTGAAGGTTTCCTGTAGGCAGTTGGTGCCACGTTAGCTGGGACTCTTGGCCAAGCAGGAAGGGTCTGTCACCCTTCTTGTGTGAGGGGCCCTGGGCAGCTGATGCACGTTGCCTGTTGGAATCACTGAGGCCCAGCACAGGAAGGTGCAGTCCAGCCCATTCCCTGCCAGGCTGAACTGCAACAGAGCCTGGGTTGCAGGAGCTGGGGAATAGACAGATGGCTAATGCAGTGTCCACAGGATACAGAGAGAGGCAATCGAGGGGGATATGGAATTTGTCATGTGTGGGGCTGGGTCATGTCCACCTTTGCTAGGGAGTCTGGGGGGGGGGGGGCTGTCAGCACGGGGCGGAAGCCCGGCCGGTGTGCTATTGGTTTCTAACGCCGCTCTCTGTAACCTCTCTCTGCTGTGTGCCAGGATGGGGCGGCTGGAGCTGCACTGACGACACTAAAGCCCAGTCTGTCGGCTCACAGAACCTGGCCACCCTGCTGCTCACGCTCAGTAACCTCATGTTCCTGCCGGCCATCGCAGTCGCTCTGTATCGCTTCTACCTGGTGGAGGCCTCTGTGTACACCTACACCATGTTCTTCTCCACGGTAGGTCGTGTCAGCTGGCTCCGCCGCCCTGGACGCGAGCTGTTGGGCCCTCCCCGCAGGCTGTAGCCCTCCGCTGCCTCCATCCCCAAGGTGACAGGCTCCTGGAGCATGCTGCTCTTTACCTGAGAGGGAAGGGCTTAGCGAGGGGGGCGGGGCTCTCCCCTGGTTCCTGGGATACTCACTGCCACCAGCCAGCACTCCCAGTGGAGAACAGGCCCTGCCCCGCCTGAGTGCTCTGCCCACGTGGGGAACCTGCCAGGGCTGCAGCTCAATCTGAAACTTGGCATGAAAATCCCCTCGTCAGCCTGCCTCCTTCCGGTGTCCGGTTGGCATCCCAGCTGCAGCCTGACCCCTGGGAACCATGGGGGAGCAGCAGGGGCAGGGTGCTTGTCTGTGGGTTAATGGCTCTTAATGGGAGACAGTAATTCTGAGGGATCTGGGCATGTGCCTCTCCAGGGCACTGGGTCAGACACGGAGCCTGGGTCTTCCACTTCGCCCATAAGAGGGCTTGTGAGGGATCAGCTCTAAAGTCTCCCTAAATATGGCGCTTCTAGTACCAGAGCAGCCCCTGCATTCCAGCACCGCAGGTCGGGACGGGAGCCCTGGGGAAAATATTGCAGAGTTTTTTCAGAAAAACGGCTGTTTTTCCGAAAAAATGTCACTTACGTCCACACTGCAATCGCGTTCTTTCGAAAAAACAAACAAATGAACAGAGGGGTTTTTCCAACCTCGGTAAACCTCTTTCTACGAGGAAGAAGCCTTTTTCCGACAGAGCTCTTTTGGAAGAAGGCGTGTGTGGACGGGGAAGAGGGGAAAGAGGAAAAAGCGCAGGTGCCCTGGTGGCCACTCCGCCCATAGTAATCACAGCTTACATGCGAGAGCGCGGCCATTCAGCGTGGATGCTTCTTTTGAAAACGCAGATCGCTTTTTCGATGCGCTTCGGCAGCGTGGACGCTTTCTTTTGGAAGAAGTTTTTTTGGAAGATCTCTTCTGGAAAAGCTTGTTCTGAGAGAAGCCTGCAGTCTAGACATAGCCCCCGAGTGTTCCTCTCTTGCGGAGGGAACCCAGACAGCCAGAAGCAGCGGTATCCACAAGGAGGCAAAGAGATGGCTTTAGTCGCTACAGAGTTGTGAAGCCAGGGGGCCTTGAGAGAGGAATCGGGGGCAGTGGCCAGATGCTGCTCCTATGCCTTGACCAGTGCAATCTCCAAAGAACAAGATTACTCAGCCTCCTTCCCCTCTCCTTCATCCTTGGGCCCTGTGGGTGAACTGCTGAGCAGAATGGCCAGTTTGCAGCTCTTTTATGCTAGAAATCTCAGGTGCTCCCTTTCCCCTGTCGGCCGGGAGCTCTTGGCGAGATCTCTGGGGAACCTGAGCAGAGATATCAAGTGAGGCTCGTCTGCTCCAGGCACTTGGAGGAGCTGCTGAGACTATCTGGAAACTGACCTGCCCTGCCCCTCAGACCTCAGCAGACCTGTCACCAACAAATAGTTCACAAGCAGATGCTCTCCATGCCTGTAGCAGGCCAGGAGCATTTTGCTCCGGGGGTCCTTGCAGGTATCCATAGCTCCAGGCATGAGCCTTCTGTATCTGGCTACCATCTCCATCCAAAAAGGAGCTTGGCCAGGCAGGCTGCAGCACTTGGCTCCTCTTCTTCCCTGCCTCTAGTTCTACCATGCGTGTGACCAGCCCGGAGTTGCGGTGATGTGCATCATGGATTACGACACGCTGCAGTACTGCGACTTCCTGGGCTCCGTCGTCGCCATTTGGGTTACAATCCTATGTATGGCCCGAGTGAAGAAAATCTTAAAATACGTGAGTAACGGGGGCGATGGATGCACAAAGCACCAGTCAGGTTGTGGTGCGAAGCGCCCAAGGATCAGCACGTGCTACAGGCTCAGCTGTTGTTCTGCCCGTCATTCCACACTCCACCAGCCAGTCCGACCTGTCTCCAACAGCCGTAGACCCCCCTGGCTCTTGCCCCAAAAGGGGCCACATGTGACTCAAAGGCCTGCCCTACAGAAAAGGGCATCGGTTCCCCAAGATCCCTTTAAAAGCCAGGGCAACATGTGTAATACAGACAAGCGCTAAGGCTGCACGTTCCCCTGCAACCAGCGCTAAGCCTGCGCCCTGCACCAGTTCTTTTGCATTTCAGTTCCTAGATTTGAGAGCCGCAAAGGCCACTGCGCTCTGGGACGCAAGCCAAAGGCCATTGTACTTGGCAGATAGGGTCCCACTGACTTCGCGGGGCTTTGGACTGGGGTGGGGTTGACCTAGCGGCACATGGCTTTCTAACAGCTGGCTAGCAATGCAGGGTGTGCTGCTCTGCACCCCGGCCTGTGTCAGTGGGTAAGTCCTGGGATTCCAAATGTTCATAAGTGTGAACTCCCTGAACGTCCTTGGTACTTGGCTTGATGTCTGGTAAGGCAACCCAGGGCCCTTAGCACAGTCCTGCTCCAAGTACAGCCCCTTAGGGTCCTACCTCTGTGCCGAGCCTGCTCTGCGCCCGGTGACGTGGGTGTGCCATCTGCTGGGCTAATGAGGAAATGAGCTACTTCTCTTGGAGGAAACTGGGCCGGCCTCCAGCCCTGTTCCTCCGCCGTGGCTCAGGCGGGCTGGGGTCTGAACAGCCTTGTTCTGTCTCAGTAGCCTGGGTTTAATGGTTACTCAAATAGCCACGTTGTGAGCGTGGAGCAAGGCGAGGGTTAGGGTTGCCCATCTCTGACCCCCTCCAGTGTCTCAACATCCCGGGGTGCTCCGCACTGACCCTACTGTGCCACAGCCACGTTGGAGGGTGGGTGGGAAGCGTCTGTCTGTCCAGGTGGCATTTTTTATGCTGCGCTGCCCTATCCCACCCAGATCCTGGCACCTCTCCGCAGGACCCTGCATCTGAGTTCGCACATTGGCACCCGTCGGGATTGCAGTGATGTGCAGCGCAGTGTGAAGCAGTCTGGGCGGGACGTTCCTGATGTCAGTGTCATCCTCTTGTCTTGCTCAGGTTCTCTTTGTGCTGGGGACACTGCTAATTGCCATGTCCCTGCAGCTGGACCGCAGAGGCATTTGGAACATGATGGGGCCCTGTCTTTTTGCTCTCATCATCATGATTGTGGCATGGGTAAGTGACTGGGTAGGGGCATCCGGTCGGCACTTGGCTCCCTTTGTTCCTGCTTAGACACACGTGTTTTCAACCGGGTGGCGGCAGGGAGGAGCTGCCACAGTGGTTGAGTGGGACAAGACCTTGGCATGCCCTGATGAGCAGGCCTCAGGCAGTGTGGGGCAGCAGGGAAGGGTTAGGTGCTTTCACCCCAACTTGTAGCCATCAGTTAACTGAGGAGTTCCCAGGTTACCAGTCTTGGCCCAGCTCTCCTGGCAGCGCTAACTCTCAGCATGTTGCCTGGCCCACTGGTGATTGCTGGCTGCGTGTGTGCTCGGGGCCTGTGCGGGTCTAGTGACTACCTGGGTGCTCGGGGCCTGTGTGGGTCTAGTGGCTACCTGGGTGCTTGGGGCCTGTGTGGGTCTAGTGGCTACTTGGGTGCTCGGGGCTTGTGCGGATCTAGTGGCTACCTCGGTGCTCGGGGCTTGTGTGGGTCTAGTGGCTACCTGGGTGCTTGGGGCCTGTGTGGGTCTAGTGGCTACTTGGGTGCTCGGGGCTTGTGCGGATCTAGTGGCTACCTCGGTGCTCGGGGCTTGTGTGGGTCTAGTGGCTACCTGGGTGCTTGGGGCCTGTGTGGGTCTAGTGGCTACTTGGGTGCTCGGGGCTTGTGCGGATCTAGTGGCTACCTCGGTGCTCGGGGCTTGTGTGGGTCTAGTGGCTACCTGGGTGCTTGGGGCCTGTGTGGGTCTAGTGGCTACTTGGGTGCTCGGGGCTTGTGCGGATCTAGTGGCTACCTCGGTGCTCGGGGCTTGTGTGGGTCTAGTGGCTACCTGGGTGCTTGGGGCCTGTGTGGGTCTAGTGGCTACTTGGGTGCTCGGGGCTTGTGCGGATCTAGTGGCTACCTCGGTGCTCGGGGCTTGTGTGGGTCTAGTGGCTACCTGGGTGCTTGGGGCCTGTGTGGGTCTAGTGGCTACTTGGGTGCTCGGGGCTTGTGCGGATCTAGTGGCTACCTCGGTGCTCGGGGCTTGTGTGGGTCTAGTGGCTACCTGGGTGCTTGGGGCCTGTGTGGGTCTAGTGGCTACTTGGGTGCTCGGGGCTTGTGCGGATCTAGTACTGTGCCCTGGGCATTGCCTGACTCCGTGTTTAAATACGTAACTTGGCTGTTCTAGTAAGTGAAGTATTGGGGCTGTGAATACAGTTAGACAAGGCCAGGCATTGCATCACGCTTGGGCAGGCCCTGGGCTTTCTTCCTCGAGCCTGGGAAGGTGCAAGTGGTGGGGTCAGTCATCGGGTTGTTCCGCTCCCGGCTGGATCCCCGGTACCAGCACGAGTGCCTGCCAGTCCCCAGGGGAGAGGTGGGTGTGTGCTGCCATAACTCCTCTCTGGTATTGCGCCTTTAGGTTTACCATGGCGTGAAGCGCCGCCATTGCTACCCCCCCACGTGGAAGCGCTGGGTTTTCTACCTCACTCCAGGAATCGTCTTGGCATTGGTGGCCCTCTCGGTGTACGCGTTCATGGAAACCAATGACAACTACTACTACACACACAGCATCTGGCACATGCTGGTGGCCAGCAGCGTGGCTTTCCTGCTCCCGCCTTGTGACAAGCATAAGAAGGCCTGGACCTGGCCACAGAAGCTCACCTGTCGCTATCAGATATGCAATAATGACCGAGAGGAGCTCTATGCGGTGACCTGAGTCGGGCTGGCATGCAGGGTCACCGGCCAGCGGGCCGAAGGGCTGGCTTGGGTCCCCCTTCACCAGGCCTGGGAGAGCGGCCCCCGTGCATGCTCAGAACTCAGCAATGCACTCGTTGGCTAGCCAGGGGAGCCCAAAGCAGCAGGTTTGACACTGCGGACCCTGGGCCTCAGCCTCTGGGAAACAGGTGACATGGAGTCCCTCCGCATTTCCTCGGGAATGGGGAGGGGTTTCTGATGAATAAAGGAGAAGCCTGCATCCACGTTCCGCGCGAAAGACGAGCGCTCCATTCCCTGCCTCGGCAGCTGGTCTGGGGCTCGCTGTTACCTGTCTGTAGAAAGCCGCAGGATGGAGCCTGGCTTTGTTTCCACCTGGAGTTCCTGTGATCTCCCCTCGCTTTGCCATAGAAAGGGCAGGTACCCAGCTGTGTATGAGCTGGAGCTGATGAGGTCTCAGCGTGTGTGCCCTTTGGTGGGGTAGTAATGAGCCATCCTCCAAAGCAGCTGCTCTGGATCATCGGTCCCCACCCTGGGATCCTGTGGGTGAATGATGTCTTAGTGTTTGTTTTTGGTGAGTGTTACCAGCGGAGCGAGGCCCTGAGAAGGCCGGGGCTTGCATTCAAACAGAACTGGGGCTAAACTTCAGGATCTGATTCGATGGCACCATAGCGCATCTGTCTTTGAGAGACTTCAGTGACATCCAAGGGGAGACATAGCCCTGACCCAGAACTGCAAAGGTGGATTCAGGAGCAGGGATCTGACGCTCCCGGAGCGTCTGTTTTGGTCAGTGAATCTCAGGAGAGCCATGAAGTCACCATAGTGGCCTGGCCCTCTGTGGTGTTGGCAGTTAGGCACTCGCGGGGCAGGCTGCAGCCTGTGTGATCAGTGTAGATTCTGTGGTGGACAGTTTACAGGTGTGACACATCGTGAGTGCTTTGAGAGGGCCTGTGCATTGAGCTGCCCTCCATGCGCCTCTTGCAGCAGTAGGGAGTGATCATGTCCTGTGTTCCAGCTGGTGAGCAGATGATGCTGTGCTGGGGAGAGCCGTGTTTGTGTCACACGTAGCTCAGTGAGGTGTCAGTTGCACACAGGGCCGGCCCACAACATTTTGGCACCAGAGGCGGGGAGCTCAAATGACGCCCCCATATGCACCAGCAGCAGACACAATTTTCTACACTCTGGGTCCTAGTGGCACTCCCTCCTCCCCCCAGTCTGGCACCTGAGGCAACCGCCTCAGTTTGCCTTATGGTAAGGCCGGCCCTGGTTGCACATTGTGTGGGACTGGGGTCAGGCCCCTGGGTGTAGGGCTTGCACCAAGTCGCTGTAGTATCCTTAGGACAGCGGGTCCGACAGTGCTCCCGAGATGGACCCGTGGGCATGCACACAGCTCCAGGGACATGCTCTGCTAAGACACTGTCCTGTGCCCAGGCACTGCAGCGCTCCGCTTCCCCTCCTCCGCATGGGGAGGCGATGGAGCTGGGCCTTGTCATGCACCTGCTGCGAGATGGGCTTGCAGCAGTCCCAGGGACCTCGGCTGGCGTGCACGTTTACACTGAATGGCAAGTGGGCACTGACTAGTGCAGCTGGCCTCTTTGCTGCTAGCGAGGGTAGCTGCCCCCAAATATTTGGGAACCACCGACTAAAGCAGGGAGGGGCAACCTGGGCTAGTGAGTGGGCCACAGGAGAGGGCCTTCCTCATCTCAGTGGGCCGCAAGATTGTTGTCCCCAAATGGTCTCCCAGGACAGGGTAGCTTTGCTACTTGTGCTTGCCTGTCTAAGGCGTGTCGTCCCCTCATGGTGTGACTGGGGAGCTGCTGGGGTGCGGGAGGCTGCCCACCCCACGGCACAGCTATGGAGATCGAAGCACATTGTGCCCTTACGTCCTAGAACTTGCTGCCCTCTGCCCAGCTCTGGGATATGCTGAGGGTTGTGCGTTGGGGGAGGAACAAACTGGCCTGGAAATTCTGTCCCGGAAGCAAAAAGCAAAGTCCAGGACAGGCGACTGTTTGCACGCCTGTTCCTGTCAGGCGGCAGGTCAGCAGCTGGTGGGGCGTGGTGAAAGGCCCATGGCGGCTGTTACAGCAGGGTCTTGCGGAACATGGCAGGACACCTTTTCAACTTGACCTTAACTAGAGCTCCCTATCCACATGCTGCTGCTTTGCATCCACACAGGCTCTTCCAACAGAGGGGGCAAAGGAGGGGACTTGCCCCGTGGTCCCAGTGATTCAGTGCTGTTGCAGCGGTGATGGCCAGAGCCCTGGGCCCTTTAAATCACCACCTGAGCACCGCACCACACACTCAGGGCAACACTAAGGGGGGGGAGAAGCCATGCTCCAGACACCATGGAAGGTTGGCTGCCCTTGGCCCTGGCTCCTCCCACCCACCCTCTCAAGGGCCCCAGGAGACTGTTGGCTCGCCTGCATCCACAGCTGAGATCATACCAATGTCAAAGTGCACATACCAACCCAGGGATCAGACACCTCAGCAAGTTGAACTGCAGGAGGAAAATTGCAACTCTTAACTGCTTGTGTGTGCAATTTGTGGCAAGCAAAAAGAAGCCAGTGCCTGAACATCTGGCATTGGGGGAGGGGAGGGGGGTGTTCAATGTATGCTACTTCCTGCTTTTCCCTCAGGAATGCTTCCTGTTTCATACTTAGATCTGATGTCAGTAGAGTGTTGTATATTTCATGTATACCATATGGCATCTGACTGCTGTTTTACATCATGGATCTTTCCTTCAGGATAGTCCGCTGCGGAGGAAGATGGAAAAGGCTGTTTAAAATGTGGTTGAGAGGGGAAGAGTGTAAGAGCTGCTAATGAAAGCCACTCTCTCTAGACAGGATTATTTGGCTTCTGAAAAACAGCCCAGCATTTTGCCAGCTGCTTACAGCCACAAACTTTCCCTTCTCTAGCCATTAACTCAGCCACAAGCTAACTTAAAGTTCTAGCCAACTCTCTTCATGGGGCCTGGACTAGATTTGGTGCTGGTATATCTGGGGAAGACCTGCAAGCTGAGCTGACTTGTTGTACCTTGCTCCTGGAATAAAAGCAGAGAGAACGTCTCATTGGTTGCCATATTTCTTTACAAATTAATTTTTTCAAACAGACGTACGGCTGAGCAAATAACACTCATTTTACCTAGATAAAAAAAGCCACTACTGGAAGGAGGAAAAATGGTTCTGGCTATTGCAGGCTGTTTAGAAACACTTGTATCTCTTCATTCTGTTACAGCAAGGTGAATTTGTATGACAGGGACCATATGGTAACACTAAATGTTGTAGCGGTCGGACTTTTTTGTTTTTTCTAAGCAACATGAAGACAGGATGTTTATATCAAAACATAACGTCCCAAATCTACTGGCCTTTATTATAATGCTGCTATATAGACCAGGGGCTCTGTCTTATTGTTCCTTTAACCTCCTGTAGCAATGCAGTAGTTAGTCATTTTGTACCCTGTTGGCACAGGATTTCATACACTCTGGGATTCCTATAACTTAATCACCAGTTTTTAAGCACTTTCCCTTCAGTTGTTACAACTTAGTTGTAAGCTGAGCACTTGGCCTTAGAGGATAATACATTGTTTGCAACTCTTTCATACACAGAGTGCTGCATTTGCAGCTAGGATGCTGCGTATTAACTAGATGGAGCAATAATTCTCTATGCCTTTTTAATATAGTCTCCAATGCTGTGAAGCACATTGATCTTTGGGATGGGGGGGTGGGGAGGGAATCCCTATAATTATTTTGCTAGTCCTATTCCTCTTCATCCCTATCACTACAACTGGAAAGAATTATCTTGTGTAATTTTATTGGGGAAAAAATATTTTGTCAATTACCTTGGGTAGAATTTGAGCAGATGCCAATATTTAAATATTTGATTTTTTTGGGCTGTAATGCCTGTGGTTTAATTTTATTTTGTATAGTGAATTTTAAAGCTTCTGTTTTTTATAATGGAATATATGTAATTGTACTTGAGATTGTCCAATCTGCAATGGCACTTTCTGAAATGGGATTTTATACTTGTATGTCTAGGACAAGAAATCAAATAAAATGCAAAACAAAGTTGTGCAGTCCCAACCAGTCTCTTCTTTCATGGGGATGTTTGAGGATTATGTGGAAATGTTGCCCTGAAGGCTGAAATCGTCTCCCCATAGAATTTCTCTTATCTAATGAACCTGCAGTTAGGCTACTGTAAATTGCTCAAAAGCTGTAGGGCAGGGGTGTCCAAACTTTTTTCAAAGAGGGCGAGATTTTATGAAGTGAACATGAGTGAGGGCCGACCATTTTGCCTGACATTATTTGAACCATTAAAATTAAATGCAAATTAACTATTTTATGCAAAGTTTATTGCAAACGGCATACTTTTCATTTCGTCACATGGATGACAAATCTAAACAGGTATTAAATCACTCTGCCTTTCATATCTGAAGGCCAGTTGAAAAAAAAATCCAAGAAGCTGAAATATATGTCAGGAACATTGTAAAGTACATTACATATTATTGGTAATAAAGGTTGTCTGTCAACTTTTAAGTTCAAAAAACATGAACAGGAGCATAACACCAAGTATACATGTTGTGTCCAAATATATTTATAACTGATTTAGACCAACTGACATTAACTGAGATTTTACAATGTATTCATCTCAATACATATGGATTCGTTGGGGGCCATAAAAGATAGATATTGCCAAATTACCTGGGGGGCCATATTAAACCAGAACACGGGCCGCAATTGGCCCACGGGC